GGGCAGGCGAGGTCTCACCGGTGGCTCAGTATGGTCGTGGTCGCGGTGGCATGGCCGGAGGAACTCGCGCTGACCGACCCGGGGGACTCAAGCCTCGTCCCGGGGGATAGCTGAAAGAAGGGGCGGCGGCCAGGAGGGTAACGATAAGTTAATCCACGGTTCATCATTCAAAACTTCAACTGACTGTCATCAGCATTCCAAAAAATTGATAATCAAGTTCGACTACATAGTTCTATCTTCATCACTCTTGATCCGTGTTCTAGCCAGCCTGAATTTTTTTTCCTGTCATCTCAATTTTGTTTGATGTAGGATCATGTCGAGCTCCGAAAGCGCGACAATCCTGTGGAGGTCTGAGGGCATGCTCCCCCACAGGAAAATTTTGAAATCTTGACCCCTTGAGTCTGACATGATATTTCCTGCATTTTGAGTGGGAAATTTTGCTGGTATACATAGTTTAATTTTATTACAGCTCTTTCTATATCTTTACATCTTGACAGAAAGACGGATGCTGGCTAGAACACTACTCTTAATCCAGAATGGCTATGATATATCTTAAAATTTGGAGTTGCATTCCAGGCAATAACCCATCCGAGGTTGGCTTCTGGTTGTCTTTACCGTCTACTTGCTCGTCCAGAACACTGGTATGTTTTTCAAAAGCAGCAGAAGCGATATGTGGTAGAATAGCTGCGTCAATTCAAGCCACGATTTGTCAACTCGAAAAGCATGTTTTAAAACTTGTTAGTAGTAATATCTTCTTACCCTTTCAGACCAAGAACTTTAGGGAAGCTTAACATACTGGAAAATACCGAGACAGATTAGACATACAGATAGCTAGGACAGTTATCCAGTCTTTCTAAAATGCTGCCGACACACAACACAATTTTCCCAGCAGTATCTCCAGCCCTTACCGTCCAGGGGGGATGTCGTAAGGCTCCCTCCGGGGCAGCGGCAACCGGTCCTCATACCCCCTACAAGAGAAAAAAAATATGTATAAAAGGAATACAAAATGTGATGGCAATGGTTTCTCAGTAGTTCTTAGTATGATCCACACACTTCCTACATTCAGAGGGGAGGTAAGATTTAGTTCACGTATGCAGAAAAAAGTACTTTGAGCTTTTTGTGTTATCATGAAGTCGAGTTTTAATCCTGATTATTGACCCAAAGACACAAGAGTAGCGCGTACTTACCTTGGGGGAGGGGTTCGTCGGCCGTACATGGGAGGGGGTGGAGTCAGACGGCGCCCCAGCGGGCTGCGACTGCGTGCCCGGTAACCAGGAGGAGGCAGGTCACGGGGGTCACGGGGCGGCGGGAGGCGGCTGGGGGTCAGCGCAAACAGGTCACGTGGTTAGACATCGTCACAAATCACCCTCCCTACACAGACCATCACTTTAACACCACCAGTCACCATTCTTCTAAACCTTTCCCTTAATGCCAAGAACAAGCTACGATTTTGAAGCCAAATTTTTGTGTTACAAACTTCCATGGACATTTCCATAAAACCTTGGTTGAGAATAATTTCCAAGCAGATCTTTCGGTGGCCACAAAAGACAGTATCAATTTGGCCAGGCAGTATCCATTAGCCAGGCAGTATCCACTGGCCACCCTTCTGTGGCTAATGGACACTCCTCTGTCTGGCCAATGGATAATACATTGCCACCATATGATCTGCTTGCAGATTAGGTTGAGAATACCTCGAGTTACACCCGTAGTATTCACAAGTAAAAATGACACAAAACAATAGGTTTGACTAAAACAACATGATGGGATACAACAGAAGCAATTTAGCCTATTGTGCTAGGTCCTAACCTGTGTTTGCTTTCGGACAGCCTGCTCAGTTGACAGGATGTCCCATGGAATAGAGAAACAGGAAGAAGACATGGTATGGTTACTGGTGCTGGTCTGGGGGGAGGGCAACTTTTTTTTACACCTACATTCAAACCCTTTCCAGTTCTTGTCTTGAAGCTACACACCCGCTGTTAACCACTTCATTTCTAAAGATTTGTGAGGTTCATGGTTATCGATTGCTTTCAGCAATACCATTTTATGTCTGTCTGTCTGCTCGGTATTACATTAGAATGGGTTTTTTTACATTTTGATAGCGAGAGTCCAATTGTTACTGACAGCATGTATTTAGCCAGAGGAAAGGCTAATTGCAAAACCCACAATGCAGACAGAAGTTACACCTTACTCAAATACCTGTAACAACCCTCACTACTTCTCTTTTAGTTTAGAAAAAAGTCAATTACGTCAGCTATGCTTTATTAATGCTTGAGAATCTTTGCTGTTCGAGCTATATTAAGCAGCCTTGAGGCATAGAGGTGGAAACTGCAAATAAGCCACACAACAGAACCTCTGTGTAACATAGAAAGGGTGAAGCGACAGGAGTGAGCATGGTATCTAGCCTGTTACACATTGCAGAAGCCCGCCTTTTCCAGTAATTTGTTTTCTTACAAAAATACCCCATGAGCAGAACTCAGGTTACATGAAGGTAAAAACTACAAAATTTCACTTGAATTTTCCCCTCACCTGAGCATCATAGTTGAGACTTAGTTTTCCATATTTCCTCAAAATACAGTAGTCCTTGAGCAGTTTATCACTATCACCATAATTTGGTATTTTATATTAAATTTGTCTTTGTGTGAAGTGATTCATTTTTTGATCACTTCACAACATCACAGACTGTTTTTGTACTTATGCACTAAAAGTTAAACAGTTTTCGGCAGTGAGAACAGACTACAGACACTGAAGAATCAAACATGAGCAAAACCCACCTCTCATAGTACCTGCCAAGATGAAAACCGAAAGAAAAACAAAGGTACAATTAGTAACAAGGCACTTACATGTCACTGAATGCTCCTGCAGTAGGATTTTTTATGTGATTTTTATTTCCTTCTTCGAAAATTAAGAGTTGGGAATCACCTTTGTTTAACACCACCACCTCATGAAATAACATCTTGCAGATGAGATCTATGCAGCTATGATGAATCTTGTGCTACTTTTACTACTTAAGTCATCACTTTCCACAAGTGATGCTTTAATACTAGACCTACCCAGTTTTTTTCAGATAAGGAGCCCATTTCACATTTCAACAGGACTGCCAAATATTCGCAGCCATCTATAGCTACTTTTAGTTTTAGGACAGGTCTTTGATAGTTAGAATGGTTACCTTCACCCCTTGTCCCTACCTTACATATCATGTTATTGTATTACAGTTATTGTATTATATTGTGACTACAGTAGAGACTGACCTGTCCCTGTATCTGTCATACACTGGGTCCATGTAGCGCATCCTGTAGTAGTAGTCTGGCGGGGGAGGGGGCAGTCTCCGCTGCATGTACTCTCCGTACCGATCCCCCCGGTCCCGGTCGTAACCGTCATCGTACGCGGGCGGGGGAGGACCACGGCCGCCACCGCCGCCGCCACCACCACTACGGGAGAGGTAAGGTCTTCAAGATATTGTTACTATTATTGGTATAATATTAGAATAGCAGTTACCATGTTTCTCTTACCTATTTATCAAATTTTATATATCCACTCTGTCACGTATTAGTTAAGAAGAGATAGAAAGTTAGATAAGTAGAACATAGAACATCATGTTACTTATTCCATTCCTCACTACATTCTGTACTCAGTGTCAATGTTTGTTTGCAACTAGCCAATTAGCCTTCGGGCAAGAACTTGCAATAAATCCATTCATTGTTACAACATTCTGCCATTGACCTGGGGTCTCAAGGTGTTTTGCTTCATAATAATTTTAGATTTGATTTTGAAAGGGGAATAACTTACTAGTATTTATTACAAGGTTTCATGGTCACTCTCTCCCTATCTGATGTTTGTGTTTATAAGGAACAGAAAATCCAAAGTAAAAGATGAGATGCCTACCCGCCCCTGCCTCTCTTGCCCCCGTCTGTAGGACAGTCTCTGGACCAGTGGCCCATTTTGCCACATCTGTAGCACTCTCCCCGGCTGCCCTGGCCGGGCTGTGTGCGCACCTTGCTCTTGGACATCTATACAGGCAACAGCAAAATGACAGGTCAAAAAAACAGTAGTTGTACATTACAACAAACATTACATCATACAGTCAGGGAGGGTGGATAAACCACTTGTTGACAAATTAATGACTTTGAAAGTTGTTGAAAGTTCAGAACAAAATGATACATGTACATCAAAAATATATACAACAAAAATTACATCATACAGGGAGGATTGAATACACCAGTTGTTTTACAACACAATCATCAGTGACTTCAAAGCAAAATGTTGGCAAGATTACCCGTCTAAAATTTTTGTACCTCAACAGTAATTCTTGTTCCCATCCATTCTGTGTTGTTCAGTGCCTTGATGGCATCGTTAGCATCCTGCTCGTTATCCATATGCTGCAGGACAAATGACAAACATGAAGTAAGACTTTCAAGTCATTAAGTTTCCTCAAAAATACTTTTGAATTTGATACAAGAAGACTGCAAGCAACAATATAATGATTACAAACCACAGCAAGACTGTTCTGTCATATTCAACATACCATATATCAACATTAAATCAGCTCTGATCTGGAATGTGAAGAACTTACCACAAAGCCGTAGTTCTTGATGATGTCACATTCGTTCACTTTGCCAAACTTTTCAAACAAGTCCTGCAGGTCCTTCTTCCGTGCAGGCTGGGGCACATTCCCCACGTATAACTTGGTCATTTCAGCTGGGAAGGTATAAAAGAAGAATTGTTTAATTCCTATGTCAAAATATCAATTTGACAAAAGTGATTGAGACCAGTGTAAGCATGGATGAATTATTCTAATCTGATCTGCTTGCAATTTTTTTAAATGTGCATGGACCAACCTATGTAACCTACAATAAGGCTATATTAGTATTATATAGAATAGTTAGTATTATTAGGTACAACCTTAATATTTGTATGTTCAAAGCTTTGCTAGGAGCCAGGGAACTTTTCAACATGGATGTCAGTAGATCTGAAATAGTCAGGGCAGAATATTTACTGCAACCAAGGTGAACTTTGAGGAAGTTTTTCCCTTGAATTTCCAGAAGATTCATCCTCTTAAATGGATCATCCTTATCTGTGCAATGTTTGCTTATATTATACATAATTGAGCAAATGAACAAATTTTGACTGAATGAGAGCAGAATTTGAATTACAAAAATATTTTTGTGGATATAATCCAGAAGAACTGTCTGTCAAGGCACAACGGTCCAACTACTTGGTCAATGATGAGACTTGAAGAGAAGGGAATCAAGAGAGGAGAGGGAGGACGAGTGTACCTTCGTGGGGATAGCAGAAGACTTATGACACAGCTTAAGATGGGAGTCATAACAATGAACGGTCTGAAGACATTATTGGACATGCTCGAGGGAGGAGGACCTAGGTGGTTGCCGGAGTCATTACTCCTTTGACGTTAGAAGAAGAAGAAGAAGAGAGCAGACATGATGATATTGATATGAGCCTGTCATTAACACATATCACAGGCAACCTCCAATCCTTGATTCTCGGGGATTATTCAGACAACATCAATATTTGCTGGTCCCGGGTAAATATTATAATATAAGACGGCGTGTGTTTGAATTTGTGTACTGTAAACATGATAGAGTAGAGCAGCTGTTGACTTTTGCACATGGGACAGTGTTGCATGCTGGGAGATCAAGGGATTACCATGTCAAAGATTCAGTCAGACGAAGCGCTGCAGTTTTGCATTTCTATATTTTTCACAACAATGCGCTTTATTCACGCCACAAGAGCATCATTCATACCAGTATAATGTACAACAACACATCTGCTCAGCTCATATACACAGGTACAACGGGGACAGAGGAACCACCCACCAGAAACGGACTGGGACGTACGAGAAAAACTCGTCTCGGATGACACAAAGACCATACACGCTACCTCTCACTTTCAGAGCCTCACCTTTGCTACTGTTCCGACCTGGGAACGGCCTACCGCGGTTAAACGACATCCTGCCTTCTGTGTGAGCGCGGAATGCTTATAAGAAATCCCCAGACTACCCCTTACGCCGCGGCCAAAAACGCGAAAATTTTTGTCGGCAAACCCTGATCCCCTCGCTTGTCTCGACAAAATGGCGGGACAGCGTAACCACGTGACACAATTTGGGTGCTAAATACACTGCTAAGCAAAAGCGCCTCTGATTGGTCTGATTTTAAAGAAAATTCTGAAACCGTTCGTGCTGACCAATCATGAATGAGGTAACAGAAAAGCAATATAGAATATACCACCTATGAGGGGTTTTTATAATTTAAAATGTTGTCTAAAATTCTTCATTTGACATTTGTAGTTCCTTATTTCCATAAAAATATGTCAAACACATCTTATATCTCTTTTTTAAAGAGCTTTTAATGTCACAGTTTGCATTGCTGTTTTGAGTACAAGGGATATTATAAAATACATTTTCCCTATAATTTGAATGTGATGTTCTAAAATGGCTGTCTGAAAACCATAGTAACCTGTGTAATCGGTGAGCGCGTATCTAATACATTTTCGCGCTCCCGTACGACAGAATCTGCCTGTACTCCACTCTGTAAAGGCAGACACTTCCGGGACAGACTCTAAGACTGACAGAAAGCTCTACTTTCCTCTGTAGGCGCAGTCATGCCGATCACCGTGAAAGATTACACCTGGGAGGAAACCGAGACTTCGGTGTTCATCACAGTCCCTCTCAAGGGGGTACAGGCGAAGAAAACAGACATATTCTCCACCGACAAGTACATCAAGGTCAACTACCCTCCCTACCTTTTCGAGGTTGACCTGTTTGCCCCCGTGGTGGACGATAAAAGTACGGCTCAGGTGGGCAATGGAACAGTCGTCTTCAAGCTCGTCAAGAAAGACCCTGGGATCTGGACACAGCTTGCAGCATCTAGTGCTGGTGACAAGAAAGCTCTGATAGAGAAGAGAGAGAAGGAGATTGAAAAGGCACAGCAGAGAGCAGAGGAACAGAAGAAAGCTGCCGCAGAACGGAAGAGGCAGGAACAGAAGTATGCACTTCGCGAGCAAATGAGACTAGAGGAAGAGGAAAGAACAAGAGTTGAAAATACGAAGAAGGCTGAGCGTGAGCTGGCAATGACTGAGCTGGAAACATGGAAAATGCAGCAAGTTCAGAATGAAATTGCTAAGAGTAACGAGGAGAAAATCAAGTTTGAAAAACTAGAGCAAAGAATCGAACTGGCTGAAGAGGAAGAAAAGAAGCCACAAGGAAAGACACATAAAACAGAGGAGATTGAACCTGCCAAAAAGAAGTCTGAAGCCACCCAAAAGAAGTCTGAACCTGCTAAAAAGAAAACAGAAGCTGATAAGAAGAAGTCTTCCATGTTTGATGATGATGACGCCAACATGCCGGCCATCAGGTCAAAAGGAAAAATCGAGGTGACCTTTACGCCAAGGGTGTTCCCAACACCTGTGAGGGAGTCCAAGCTCCACGAGGAGGAGGAATGGCTGAAGAAGCAGGCAGAAGCCATGCGGGCTGCGGAGATTGACGATCCAAACTTGAGCGAGGAAGAGAAAAACCCTCTGTGGCTGAAGGAAAAGGGAGACGGGTTCTACAAGTCTGGAAACATCCTTGCTGCCGTGAATGCATATTCACAGGCCATCCGCATGGACAGTAAGATGCCCGCTCTCTATTCCAACAGGGCGGCCTGCCATCTCCAGATCAGGAACTTTCACAAAGCTGCACAGGACAGCTCGCGGGCGCTGGAGCTGCTGACTCCTCCTGTACCTGCGAACGCAGCGGCCAGGTGTAAGGCCCACGTGAGGAGAGGCACGTCCCTCTGTGAGCTGGAGATGTACGTGGAAGGTCTGATGGACTATGAGGCAGCGCTGAAGATAGACCCCAAGAATGAAACTCTCGCACAGGATGCCGAGAGAATTCGCCAAATCATACAGGGTAGCACAGACAATAATGGTAATGATGCATTAGAGTCATTAGATTAGGACTGAAACATTTTGTTTGGTTGTTGACCCTTGTACAGATATGGTTTGTGAACCAAAATCTTTGATAAACTACCAGCAAAATAAGTTTGATTCAGATATTCAGATATCTTTTTTCTTACTTTGCAACACATTCAAAAATTTTTGACCAGTATAGAATTACATGTCAATTACACGTAATAATTAGGATGATGTTCTACATTATGGCATTCCAATGTTTTGTACGAATCCGTGTCAATAAAAGATATTCCAGCTAGTTGAAGTATTAACATTTGTTGTACGATTTCAAGTTGTGAACTACACATAATGCTTGCTAGAATTGCAGGACCTCATAGATGGCTTTACATGAGAAATGGTCTAATGAGATATCTGTTATGTATTGTATGTGACAATCAATGTGCTGCCAGAGAAATGTGTAGAAAATGTTTAGGTAAAAATTTTGTGAATGGATTTGTTTATTGGAGGATTGCTTTTCATACCAGTTTGAACATTAAAGGTAAATTTTCTCAACTCCTGAGTGATGATGTATGCCTCTTTTACAACTTTCGAGAAAGTGTTGATTTATAGAGTCTGAAAATTGATTATCGTCGGTATTCCCAACCCTATTAAAATATACCCCTTACATGAGAGTGGCACTGTCTAGAACGGCTCATTAAATTGAAGGTGAAAAGGTCTTCGTACGCACTTTTTGTTTCTTCATATTACTGAAATAAATTCTACTTTACCATAAAATCATTGAAATATTTATTACTTTGAAGAAAATTATTATATATTTTTCACTCTATAGCAGCCGTAGTAAAATTAAAGGTATTTTATTGGGCTGTGTGTCTCCTATCTTTGAAATGTAATGCCCCAAAATGGCGCGTGGTAGAGGAAGGGGAGGCCGTCGACGGGAAGATAGGCAAAAGGCGAAACAACGACAAATCAACAGGGCTCTGAAGTTGTCAGAGATCAACTCTAAAGCCAGATATCAACAGGAAGAGTATCTGCGCCGAAGGCAGCAGGCAGAAAGGTAAGGAGGGGTACAAACAGCGCCTATTTCAGAATGGGGGAGGGGGGCGTCGAAACAACATGCTCGTGCTTGCACGTGTTTCAGCCCGCATGAGAGAATTTATGGACACCGCCGATGGCCTGAACTTTGCTGAATCAATATTGTAACATGGCCAAGAAAGCTTTTCTAAAAGATAGGCATCCGTTGCCCAAATGGTACGAAGTATGCCATAAACGTAAGTTTATTATGGCTTTTATCTTGTGTACAACTACGAGTTGTTTTCAAATAATTTATGATAGCCTTTGTTTTTCCAAATTCAGCTAGTTTATGAAATGTATGAGGTATAAAAGATGGGAAAACTGAAATAATTCCTTGTTCCTACATTGTTTACAGAGACGCACTGAAGAAAGCACAAGGAGAAACAAGTCAACAACCAAGACCAGATAAGGTTAGCAGATGTAGATTCAATACATTTTGTTGTACTTTCTCTGTATAGTACATGTACTATGCAGAGAAGGTACAGAAAATCTTGTTCTGTATAACTAGAAGTAAAGCTTCATACTACAGTGGTACCATGTAAAAAGACTTATAGCAAATGGCAATATCATTATGATTTAGTAGTGCAACAAAGTAATGCACACTACCAGGACTGCCTGCCTAGCTTTGACTTGAGGTAAAAAATTTCATGACCATGATAGAAACAGAAGGCTTGTAATGGTGTCTTGCAGAATAATGAAGCATCCTCATCATCATCCAGTGAGAGTGAAGACGAGAGGCAGACACCCTACGATCTCCTGGTAACATCGCTTCAGTCAAACAGAGATCAGAGCTCCTCTGAAGACATCTCAGACTCGGAGGATGATGGTGATGATAGTGATAGTGTACAAGAGGAGGAAGATGACATTGAAAGTGATGAAGACAGTGAGCAGGAAGACATCACCAGAGATGATGGGGAAGATGTGAGTACTGACAATGAGGAGGAGGAAAGGACTATTCCTGAGGACCTAACATCTGATGAAGAAACAACAGTCAAGGGAAAGAAGAGGAAAAAAGAAGATGATGGAGTCTTAGAGCAAAGGAAGGTAAAAAGGAAACTGAAGCCAATAGAAGAACAGGACAAGAGGGAAGAGCAAGAGAAGGAAGGACAGTGGTCTTCAGATGGAGAGAGTGAGGGAGAAGATCCTGAGGATGAAAAGTCCACTACTGGAAAGGGTATGTCCCAACTTTACTATGTGGAATTGATCCAAAGAAATTTTCAAAATACATGTATTAAAAATTTTTGTCTTGCATCAATTATGATGATATCTCGCATCACTTTAAAAGTGGTCTTATCAATCTTTGGTACTAGCTATACAGTATGAGTCTAGGACTTGGCCGGGGATCAAACACATGACCTACCGAATGCAAGGTGAGCACTCTTCCTACTTTGCATTGGCTATTGCACTGGTTTTAAAATAACTTTGGTCAAAAGGAAAGAGTTACATGTACAGGTCTACATGCATGTATGCTGCACAGGGAATCATGATAAATGAGTATATATCACATTATTTTTACACTGCAGATCCTTTTTGGCATCATCTGACCACTGAGCTGCAGGAGGACCAGGTGGACAAGCTGGGGCAGCAGAGCAGCTGGGCAAGGAAGGAGGCAATGGTCAGTGTTTGATAGTTTGAATGGGAATGGTCATTAACTGACATGTAATATTCTACTCTTCTGTGCTTATTAAGTATTATGTTACATTTATGTGAAAGGTTGTGTCTGTCCTGCAGTGGAAAGCTATAGGGAGACTTGTGCATACCTACTGTCCCGAGGGTCCCAAAAGCAGCATCACTGTCAACAAGGATAGCATCAACAAAATGAATGTAAGCCTGAATGTTGACCACAGTTGTATTTCTGGTACTGTAGATGTACATACATGTATATTGAAGATATATTTTCTGTCTGATGTTTCCATGGAAATCTCATATTGTAAGATAGTAGCTGATGTAACTGATTATGCAAATAAGATCAGAAAGACACAAGAACACTGTGTGCTCCAATATAAAAATCAGATTATTCTGTGGCCATGACTTCATTTTTCAACAAATATCAGTAAAATGCTAACATAACCCTTTTTCTGCTTATATACAGGTTAAAGGACTTCTCTGTACTAACTGGAATGAAGTGAATGGAGCTGCAGCCAATCAAGAAAATGCAGAGGAGATAAAACTGTCATCAGATGGTTAGTTTCTCACAGTGTTCCTTTGTGATTTCATCTTTGTGTTCTTTTTAGCATTATTACTTTCCTGAAGATCATGTTGTTGTAAGTTTTAATATGATTTTGTTGTTTTTGTAGGTGAGTTCACAGGGAGACAGAGGGAGCTGTTTTCTCTGATGCATGGATACAAGGTAGGAGGCATTGTAGAACATCCATGATCTTTGCTGCTTTCATACACAAGTCACTGAGGAGTTCATCAAAAATTTTTCACCTATATTGTTTTCACACACAAATCCTCATTTCCACATGCAGGACGTGTACTTCTCAGAGAGAACACATCAGAATGGAGAGGAGTTGCGGAAGCTGTACTGTCTACATGCCCTGAACCATGTGCTGAAGTATGTACATAAGTTTGATGTTATGAACACTTTGTAAGTCACATTCAAGCAAGACTAGAAAATTTTACATAGTTTTGTGCCTGTTGTTCACCATGTTATGATTTTATGATTTTTTTCACAGGACTCGAAGTGTGGTGACAAGACACAATACCAAACTAAAACTTGGGGCAGAAGTTGATCCAGACTCAGAGTGAGTTTATGTTTTCATAAATGCAGTCAACAATCAAGTATGGGTAGATATGAGTAGCATACATTGTAAATGGTAGATTGTATTGGCAGAGAAAAATTCCCCTTCATTTCGTAATGCAGCATTGTAGCTATAGTTGTTTTTGTGTTGACTGATGTACCACCCTACCTGTTGTAGTGAGTTCCAGGACCAGGGCCTGACCAGACCTAAGGTCCTGCTGGTGGTCCCCTTCAGAGAAGCAGCTCTCAGAACTGTGCACATCATCACCCAGCTTATGAGGAGACCAGATGGGAAGGTAAACCTTTAATCAAACCCTCCTTTCTTTCTGTATCAGTATAACTGGTATAACCAGCCTTTGGAAAAACACACCAGCTCTGCAGGCATGTGGCACAGCAGCAATTGTTTATATTACAGTAAATGACTTGTTACACCTGTTTGTGATATATTACTTCAATCATTCCTCAAATTAGAAGCTACAATCAAACATGTCTATAGTGACCACTCAAGGGATTTTGAGAAAATGGTCACAGCAGACAGGTAGTCACTACATAGATAGGGTTGGGTCAATACAAAAATCTATCCAAGGGACTATCAGAAGGCAGCCACTTATGCAGACACTGTCATTAATACAGGTTTGCCTGTGCAGATTGCTTTTCCAACTAAATATTGTGATTGAACTACATTTTTTTGTTTCTTAAATGGATATGTAATGTTGTAACACCTTAATGAATGTACTCTTCTTTGTGCAGCCAGTAGAAGTGATGAACAAGAAGAGATTTCAGGATGAATATTCCGAGCTGGAACACGCTCCTCCAAAAGTCCCCCTGCCAGGTACGTATGAGCAGGACAAGGCTGTATAATTAATAAGCAGTAGAAAATACGGGATACTTGACAAGGATGTTTAGCATAGTGTTTCAAATACATGTACATATCATGTACAGTTCAGTGTGGTCTGCGGTGTGACATCAAAAGAATACCAAAAAACCATAATGATCTGAATGATCATGAGTACAGGTCTTCAATTTTGAACTTTTCTGATAACCATTACATCACATGTCTCACTCTCCACAGAGGATTTTGAAGCCACCTTTGCAGGAAACATTGATGACCACTTCAGGATCGGCCTGTCTGTGTCCAGACGTAACATCCGGCTCTACTCGCCATTCTACCTGTCTGACATCATCATCGCCTCTCCTCTGGGTCTCAGGACAGTCATCGGTGCAGAAGGGTAAAACTCCAGATTCTGTAGCTGTTCCCTCTCCCCACTTCACTTCTCATAGTTGTGAAGTGTTTGGATTTTTCGTTTGATAAAGCCGATGTCACACAGTCGTAAAATAGCTCTCCCTACAAGTCTGCAAGTCACCTAAAAGGACGTTTTTTGCAGCAATATAGTTGTGTCTTGACAATCACTGTGCAATTTCAGGGATAGGGCAAAATTCCAGGTTCACATTTACAGGTCACTGAAACCTGGAAATGTGCAAGGTTTTCAAGCATGTTTACATACATGTAACTCTCTGAAATTTGAGACCTTTTGGCAATCAAAAAAAAAATTGGCTAAAAAGCTGTTAACAGTGTGACACCAGTTTTAATAGTAGTGTGTGTATAGTAGTGTATATGTGACACAGGCTTTAACAGTAGAGCTATCCATGCAGACACTGTGCTAACTTTTGTCTCCCCTCCAGGGAAAAGGACAGAGACTATGACTTCCTGTCCTCCATTGAAGTTCTAATCTTGGACCAGACTGATATCTACCTCATGCAGAACTGGGAACACATACAGGTAAGCTCAGTACCAGGTCTGAAGCTGGACATTGATAGGTGGGGCATACTAGTATTTGTGTGTCTGTAGCCTTGATGCATCAAGGTGGAATGATTTTCTTTCATGTTTCATCATGTTTCAGAGTCAATAAAAAACACACTTTGTTCTGTAACCTTGTCACAGCACCTGATGCAGCACATGCACCTGCAGCCGAAGGAGACACATGGGACAGACTTCTCCAGAGTCAGGATGTGGTACCTGAATGGATGGTGAGCTTTCTGCTTGAATGACAAAAAACTTATCACACTGATGATTTTATGCTTATCAATATTGGTGAAGATAAGATAGATTGCGAACATTGAGGACAAAACAATTATACGCTGAAACCAAACTCTCTATGTGAGATGTGAAGTACCTGTATACAAAATGTGATCAGTATACAGACAACACACAGAAATGTAGATACTCTACTCTCAAGATAGACCTGATATTCCTTGATCTGTTGAAATTTTTGGTAATACAAAGGAATTCAGGTCAAACGAGAGGAATAAAAGTGATGTGAAGAAGTGCACTAGAGTATGTAACAGAATGTTTATCCATATGTATATAAATGATATTGTTCACCATGTATTTCAGGGCCAAGTACTACAGACAGACGCTGATCTTCAGCAGTATCCCCAGTCCTGAGATCAATGCCATCTTCAACAAACAATGCTACAATATCCTTATTGAAAGTTACATCATACAAACTGGTTATCTGCCACAGATTTACAAGTCTAAATCTGTTGCTTTACAGTACACATCAATCCACCCACAGCTTTTTAGTTTTGTCATGGTGAATTGTTACTGTTATGATGCTTAGATTTGTTTTAGTTTGAATGCAAGTGTTTCCAACTTTTAAGTGGGCAAGACACTACATACATTACAAATACACTGTATTTGGAAGAAAAAGAAAGGACATTTCACTGAACTACTTGCCTTAATTTTTAATCCAACATGTCCAACTTGTACAAGTTAGTTTGATGTCAAGTTGTGTAACAATAAAACTTCTAATTGTACTCCTCAGAATTTTCAGCTGAATCGCTTGGTCCAGTTGGAGAACAGTTTGTTTCATGCACGAGATAGTCTTCCACTCAGATGAACATTTGTGCTAAGTTAGTACCTTGACCGGCACACATTATGCAGGTAAGGTGCAGGTGTGCAACCCCCCCTCCCGAGGCACCATCTGCCAGGTGGCCCTGCAGCTGCCCCAGGTGTTCAGACGGGTGGAGTGCTCCTCCTTCTCACAAGCAGCCGACGAAAGGTTCAACTTCTTCGTCTCTCAGGTACACCAGTCTCTTTTGTTTGATGACAGAGTTCCATTGTAGTGGACAGGTCTGCTTTCAGATGTTGACATTGAGGTACATTTGTACATATATTGTTTTAGTGTGAGATATACAAGTGTAGAGATAAGCTTAGATAGCATGATTGTATCACACTTATAAAGATCTAAATTATTGCACACATTCTAAAGAGTGCATTTGACAGGAAGTATGATTATTTTTCTTCTGAGTTGTGTTGAATCAATGCTACATGTGATAGTATTTTTGGTACATTTGCACAGTACTTGTGCATATCAATTACATGTATACATGTAGTTGTTGTTTATTTCAATTGAGAAGATGTGTTGGTGGTGTGAAAACTAGACTCAGCATCATGGTCTACTGAGGTATCAATAGGATGAGAATCAGAATGAGTTTTTTGATTGACTGTGAATTTTCCTGCCCTCGGTAGGTCCTGCCACAGCTGAAGGATGGGAACATGCAGCGCACACTGTTCTTCATTCCCTCCTACTTTGACTTTGTGCGGATCAGAAACTACTTCAGAAAAGAGGATATCACCTTTGCGCAAATCTGCGAGTAAGTGTTAGAGTGGATGGCTGATCATCGAATCTTACACGTTTTAGATTGGAAATGGAAATGGTAAGCTATGGAAGTCTGAAGGAAGGAGGAAGATAAATGAATCCAACTTGAGGAAAAGATTGTACAGTATTATTTCAATTTATTATAAAATCTCAATTACTACAGGTTATGGAAGATTTGTTGCTTAAAAGGCATGTTGCCACCTAACATGTTTGTTTCTTCCATTTTGCCAGATATACGACCCAAGCCAACATTTCCCGTGCTCGGCAGTACTTCCAGCGGGGAGACAGGCCGTTCCTGCTGTTTACGGAAAGGTTCCACTTTTTCAGAAGGCGAGTTCTAGAATTGAGTTCAATGATATACTAGCCTACATGTATATGCACATGTCATAACTGTGTTTAAGCATAAGCTCTGTATGCATGTTTGCTTGTTTTTAAATATGTAAAATGATTCGGGCCTTCTTGCCTAAGGTAAAGAATAAATAAAACATACTAGTCCATGTGTATACCTTAATCTTTATTTCACTGTGCGAAGAAATCTCTTCTAGAAGTAGGTTTCAGAATTGTCATCTCACTTGCATACTACTCATTTTTTTTGATGAAAGCAACAGCTGGCTTGTAACTTTGTCCTTGTCCATTGTCATTATCGATTATGCCACGAAAACATCAATTGATGACTTCCTCTTTGTTAACTCCTCTTTTTCTCCAAGTCTCTGCAGTGATTTTAACTCCCTTTGTTTGACGATTCACCCCACAGGTACAGGATAAAGGGCATCCACAGCCTGGTGTTCTACGAGCTCCCGCTCTTCCCACACTTCTACAGCGAGCTGTGCAACATGCTGGAGCTCGGTGGTGGGGAGGGGGGCGCCGCTGACAGGACCTGCACGGTGCTGTACACCAAGTACGACGCTCAGAGGCTGGCCGCTGTGGTGGGGGCCGGCAGGTGTGGCCACATGGTCACCTCCAGCAAGAGTGTCCACATGTTTGTAACGGGGGAGCAAGGGTAAATATGGGAGGGGGGGCACACTCAATGTTAGACTTTTATATATGGGTCCAATCAGGGCTCTTGCCAGCACCCGTTTTTCTGTCAATTGCAGGAACTTTATTTGTGGCGTGTGATGGAAAGATTTTTAAACCAATCCGTCAACCTTGATGGACACAATTGACAAAAATCTTGGATAAAAATATAAGAAACATCCAAGGACAAACCTCTCCCTCCCCCAGACCCCCCCAGATTGGGAGCACTTTCTCCCCAGATCTAATCATGAACCTGGGCTGACAGAAAATAAATGAAGCTGTTTTAGATATGCTTCCTCAGCAGCTATTTGATTGCCCTTAGTTTCTACAGCTTTTTTTCATCATAAAAAGCAAAATACCTCTTTTCTTTCTACAAAATGTACCAACTAGTCTGTTATTCTTCATGCCTGTTTATTTTATACCAATGTGTATGAACATTATTGTCTCAAATATTTCATGAAAATATTATTGCGTACATCTCTAGATCTTTTTGAAGATACATATATTTTTTAAGAACTAATTGATTAATACAATTCGTTTGTTCCATTTTATGCCTTTTGGCATATCAGCAATTTCATGTTAGTCAATAATTAAACATTTATGGATAAGAGAAAAGTGCATGATAAATTATTTCTATCATTCCCACCTGTATAGTTAAGTCATATTAGGAATACAGTTTTCTGATATAGCTCTGCTATAGAAGGTTCAGCTATCCAACAGTCTTTGTTAGGTAATGTAGGTGCTGCCATGTACATGTATCTACACCAAACTCTCTCTGCATACTTGTTACAGTATGTCACAACAATTCACTTTTCCTCTCTTACCATATTATGTCTTGATGTCATTGAGATGCATGTACATGTGTAGATCCCTTAGAAGCGAGAGCTTAGCAAATTCACTTGTCTAGTGGACCTTGATCTCCATACTCATTAACACAAGGCTTGAGCCCCTAGTAATGACTGGGCTCATCATATTCATGGTCTTTCTCTAACTCGTGGTCTTTCCCTAACTCATATTCTTTCTCTATCTCATAGTCTTTCTCTACATCATGCTCTTCTGTCTTTAACTCTTTCTGCAGTACTACATTGCCTGTTGACGGTGCAGTAGCGTTGTCAAAGTTGTCACGGCTGTAGGCAGCGTTCCCATAAATGTTCTGGGAGCATGGGGCGGGGGTTTGTATGGTTTCTCTTCGGCCCTTCCTGAAGTAGCGGTAGCCGTAGCAGACGGCCACAGTGATGATGAGAAAGAGGACAACTCCTGCAGCAAGCCCGCCGTACAGGACCCAGGGGATGTCAGTACAGCCTTCTGTAAAGTAAAATTTGAAACAGGTATATATTTGCTCTGTTAATTCTTACTCAAACACATTCATAGATGCTTTATTGACTATATGGTGACAGGTGTCTAAATCCCTCCTGCTATAAAATAGCAACGTGATGTAACCCAACACTAGTTACCATGGTGACAGACGTCTGGTTCATTGACCTTTTGTGTTTGGAACAGAAGAAGAGGAAACAGCAAAAACAATATGTTTTCCTTCGGTAAACATAATCATCAGGACACACTATTCCTACTTACATTGTGGAAAATATATATATACTGAGAGATGATTAATACTTGGCTGTTGTGTAATGTTAGACAAATACTTTCTGTAGTGAAAATGTGGCTCACTAAGGCCAATCTGGGGTGCAAATATGTCCCCATTTATACCCACAACAAGCACAGCCATTAGATCCTGGGTCATACCTGGTGAAGATATGTTCCCTTGTCTGGGAGGCTTGAGGTCAAACCTGAAGAGGTTGAAGATGATGTCAGCCGTGTGGTTCGCTTGGAGAGCGGTGAAGTACTTGACCTTCACTGCACTGTTGCTGTCCCGATCGTACAGGTGAACGTTTCCTCCAGCTGTGGCCATCAGGAGGATTTGGATCCTGAAACAAAAGGTTCAAAATGTGCTGCTCAACAGTGACTGATAATCACTTGCATTTCGATAGCCCACCATTACTCTGCTGACCAGATATCGGACTTTGCTGCAGACTTTAGTTTGTTGAAGAAATATTCTGGGTGCTGTCTATTCATGAAACTACATTAAGACCTTTGTTATCACAAATACACGTACCTCATAGACATAGACATAGTACTAGTAGAGAAGTGTTGGAATTGTGACAGTCCCAACAGGAATGATCAACTTTGTACCTGCAACCTTTCACTGCATATATATACATGCACTTTGAACGGTTATCATTTCTGTCCTTACATTAAAACAGTTGCTTATATGTCAAAGGCTCAAAGTAGTTTTGTGACTGACTGGTTGAAATGGGCTGCTACTAGATCATTGCTTCAACATGCAGTGCCAAAGCCAGGCCTGTAGCAAAGTGACGGTGAACTATCCAAACAGAAATGAGATCTACCCTTGTCCGTTGGAGGCAGTCCATTCCACCGAGATGTCCTCCTCACAGGTGAACACGCCCTGCTCTGGTACATCTGCTGTCCCTCTGCCTATGGCTGTGCTACAGGTTGTGGTGGCAGAAGCAGTCTTAGCAGTTTCTGGAGGAAAGTTGGTAACAAACTTGTAGTAGAAGCAGATGATATAGTGTTCAGACTCCTTTACAGGCTGCATAAATGGTAGAAATTGGCCTAAAATGAATGTAGCTGGCCAAGGGAGTTAGCCAGCCATAGACAGTCGAGCTTGCCTACATCTATACCAACTCCCCTGGCCAGCTACATTCTTTTTAGGCCGATTTCCACCATTTATTCAGCCTGCAAAGGAGTCTGGTGGAGACTACGGATAACATCTGATGGCACCAGGTTGACACAACTAGATACATGTAGATTCTCACCGTCTCGCAATGACACAGCAATGCTTCCTCCTGTGATGCCGAGAGCCATGCTTTTTACGTAGACAGGAGGGGCAGGGAGGTTGGGAGGCTGGAAGGTGGCAGTCCACCTGACTCTGATCCGCTCCACGTGCGCCATGTTGATGTGGGCTGCGTCACCATCCTCACTGGAGCGGCTGCAACTGCCTGCAATCAGACATGGAAACTGACGGATTAGACCACAAAGTTTAGCTGATGACCAAACCATTGGTGGTACAAAACTTGAAAACAGTGGAGGTCCAACAGATCAACGATGAATCAAGGAGAATCAAAGATGGTCGCTCAAATGGACAATACTAGTAAATGATCATCTTATAGTTATACTATCATGAAAGTTCAGTGTTGGTAGTTACATGTTTAAAGTTAAAACTTTTGGTCCAACACAAAAATTCTCTCACCTAGAGCTTTCAACCATACTTCAAAGAAGCCACGTGACAAGCCTCACTGGGTCAGTCTACTGAGGAAGACCAGAGTGACTGGTCAAAAGCTCTAGGTGAGAGAATTTTTGTGTTTGGACCAAAAGTTTTAACTTTAAACAAATGGTCATCTTAGTATTGCCTTTACCAATATAAATGTGATGGATATTACCGTGTGAAGTGGCAATCCCATTGTTTCCTGTTAGTTCATAGGAACAGTCATGAAATGTTGGAGCCTGCAGGACTACATAAAAGGAAACTCAATTTTCAGACTGGCAGAGAAAACATATTTACACATATTAGTATGTACGTTTTATGCCAAGTTTCATGATTTTTGCTTGGTGAGGCATTTAATGAATCTTATTTATCACTTATCAAATAACCATAGCTAGGTGAGAGTTTTTATAGATAACCACCTGTGCGACAGTGCGGCCCTCCAAAGCCAGGTGCGCAGGTGCAGGATTGAACACCTGAGGCACAGGTCCCTGGGTAACAGCTGTTGCTGTCCTCACGCCACGAACAGGCCTCTGCAAAACAGAACAGGTCTTAATACATTGAAATCTGAAACCTTGTATTGAGGTCAGTTTAGATATAGTTTCTTTTTGCAACCCACCTACCCAGCTTCTTTTATACACTGTCCCCCAGCCGCGTACTGTTGGATTTTCAGTCTGTTTCTGAAATTTTAAATCATTTTCAACCATCCTCAAAGTGAACCATTAAGGTACAAAATGCATTTCTATAAATAAACTTTGATCAGTATGGAAAATGTTCAGAATGTCAAACAGAACAATGGCATTGGTGCCTAGCCTGCTTACCAAACCTATTATAGCTCCTGAGTCCTACAGCCTCTCTGCAAATATTTAGGACTGGGGAGCTATAATACATAGGTTTGGTAACCAGGTTAATTGGTGCCACCAAGTGCTTACTTCTACAGCTGGTTCCCAGGTTGTGGTAGGCCTGCCCCAGGACCCCGAAGTCTCCGTCACACCGCACACACTGCTGGTTACTGCCGTGGGTACAGCTCAGACTGGCGCAGTGGCTGATCGGAGTACAGGCTAGAACAGGACATCAGAATTAACGTTTTTCACATTCTTCATGATCAGTTAGAAGCCTCACTGGGTGCCAAAAATGTTTTGAAGCGAGTACATGTATATGAGAGCCCCGGTATACACATAGGATGTCATGGAATGGAATATATATGGGGTCGTGTGGTGTAAAGGCAGAGCATTTGGCTCAGAACCAAGAGGTCCCGGGTTCGAATCCTGCCATGTCTCCAACCTTGTGCCCTTGGGAAAAGCAATTTACATGACTTTCCTCACTTTGCTCAGATGTTAATGAGTATGCCAGAATGATCATTATGATCCTGGGCATTAAAAGAAAAACCAATATGTCACCAGTGACATGTTAATATTGGGCCATTCCTACCTGATTGACAGCAGGTGTTCCAGTGGTCACTTTCACACGCACAGTGAGAGGTAAGTGGAGTCCCGCCATTGTAACAGAACCGGTTACACGGCTCCGTCTGTGAGCTCGGTCCCGCGCAGCCCACCCCACCACACTGAGCGTGATGGGCGACCCCCCTGTTCCGAGTCCAGGTACCAGAGTTCCCGCAGGGTGCCGAACAGTCGCTCCAGCTGCTCCACGGGCCCCAGGCACAGTCCACCAACTGACACATCGGCCCTCTTTCTTCAGAAAACTCTGCCAGCAGCAGTAGCAGCAGAATGAGGGAACACGTTCCGGTTTTTGGGGCCATTTTGAGGTGAACTCATCCCTCGACACAAATCGTAAAGAACAAAAAGGAATAAAAAGGAATCATCATTTACTTCCTGTCTCTTCACATCATGCTTAAAACAAGATGTCTGCGTTTGTACTAGTTTTCCAAGTACTTAATACATAATTTTGTTACATTTATAGTAGGTGGGTGGCTGATAAATTTTGAAAATGTTGCCACATATTTTTTATAACTTATGCATGTACTTGCCAATTCATTGTTTGGATTAGGTGGCGAAGGTATGGAGAGGTGCGCACAAAAATACAGAGTAGGAAAAATAGTCTCTAAAAAGATTTACCAGTAATTACACATTACACATCCGTCTATGGATGAACTGGCTCTAATATCACACCTCACTCCATCATAGCAGGAAACTAGAGTTAAAACAGGAACTGCTGGGATTTCAGAAATCAAAGCTGACATAATAGAGACTTCATTATTTAACAAGTATCAAGTATTTCTGTTGTAACGGTTATGGCTTTGTGATTATGGTAAATTGAAATATTAGACGGTGTTAGGTAGTACATTGTAGTAGCAAAAATTGCTGGTACAATGTATGACAAATTTTTGTGCCGGCATGGAAAGGGTTTCGCGCCGATGCATCGACTACTAGTATGTACCTGTCGGCCACCGTAACGTGAGCTGTAGGGTCAACAGTAATATAACGTCCTTGCTACAATCAAATGCAGTATGATCCATGATCGGTGGCAAGACTGGGGATTTCGTACTTACCATAGACTGAGTGTTTCCAGATCCCTTCCTTGATGATGATTGAAATGATGTTTTAGTACGGTACGTCGCGACCCGGGACTGGCTAGCGCTAGTTCTGCTCCATCATTCCTATCACTTTGATGTGTCAGGCCGGTGTACCGGCGGTATGCTTACACAGATGTATCATGTACCTCCGCATATCAACATCAAAAGCGTTTCTTGTAGGAGAATTTAATATGCTTCAGCTAAACTTATTTTGGAGAAAATGCTGTCTATGGGGCGCGCTTAAACCAGCGATCGACATCCTGTCACGGCCAACGAGTGGCAGGCAAAACGCGGATGGCGGTTGGCTGATTTGCCTACCAAATAATTTACATAGCTATAGTACGTCTTCCGATAATTTGCACGTATGTGATGTAAATAATAACATCCATCGCTCGTATTTCCACCAGCTGACAGGTGCCATCTTGAATTCTACCGCGACAAGCAATGTTTCATGGGAAATTCGGCATCTCCCACGCCTATTTTCGCGAGAATATCCATGGTGCTCTATTATTACCATGGAATATCGTATTGACGTGACACTGACAACAGGTGGCGGAAAGTAGGGAGAAATGTATACATTATAGAACTTCCATCCTTTAGCTCAATGACACATCTAGCTTTTGAAATAATTCACAGAAAAATGACAACATTGCCGTTTAATATGAGTAGTGTTTGGGAATGTCAGGTGATTGATAAGATAGAGGACTGCAATATAATTGATTCAGTAAAAAAATTCTGGTGATTCCATCGGCTGTGTTTGAGTAAAGTTTAATTGTTCTACAAGGAACTAACTTGTACAAACGCTCTCCTTTTATTTGAATGTGTGTGTGTGTGTGTGTGTGTGTGTGTGTGTGTGTGTGTGTGTGTGTGTGTGTGTGTGTGTGTGTGTGTGTGTGTGTTTTCAAAAACAAGATTATTATGCAAATGCATAACTTTGATTTCTGTGATTCATACAATTAAGTTGTCCAATTGATTTTATGAAGTTGTTCAATTGCCCCCACAATTCAAAACTGAGGTAAAGTAGTACTTTCTCACAGAAACTGTTTTAATAGTGTATCAACAACACCGACGAGGACAAGAATGAACAAATGTTGGCCACGTAGACAACATTCTGCCCAAAATACTAGTAATATCTCTCCGTGGAATCATTGTCCAAGGAGCCTCTTATAGGGATTCAATCCCTATAAGCTCCTTGCGTTGTCCAACAATTCACACTTTCAACTTTGACATGATCCTGTGTTATCTGTGGTAGCGTACCAGTACAACCACCTTTATCGTCCTGAAACAACAACTTCACAGGCATACAGGGGCGGCTAGCTATGACACAGGACGACTTGACTACTAGCTAGTTTAATAGCCAGCCTGTGGACATAGGACTTCAGTTGCAACAGTAAATTCAGGGAGGGACCTCGAAACAGTCCATGGTATGTAGCCAATGTCGTCCCCTGTGGATATTTGGTTGTATGGAGCACGACACCTTCTTTTCATGTGTTGCGAACCATGAAAAGTTACTTCAAAACAGAAAGAGGAAGTGACACAATACAAGTACTCATTTCCTCGATACGTCGGTGAAGGTAAGACGTCCAGGTAATTAGAGACGAAAAAAAGCTACTCAAGCGACTGAATATGATTTCGGAAAATTATATCCAGTTTCTTGAGTAACTTTTTGGCGTACTCATTTTCTCCTTCTTCTGTGAGACTTATATACGAGTAGTTACAGGACGGTTGCACTGGTGGGTACTGCTGACATTCAAGTAGTTCTGCTTTTCTGTGCTTCTTCCTTTTTATTTTGTACGAATGGAGCTCTAGTGGTTAAACTAGACATAGCCATGATCATAGCATGGCTGTAACTACTGTATTCTGTTTGACACAGTCACTATCCAGGTCCGGACCACTGACATTTTAAGAGCTGCTAGAAGAATGGTTTTGTCGTGACGCTAGGCTATAATGTTTTATAGATAGGTGCAGTACAAGTGGACATTGCGAAGAATTCTTCGAAGACACGCACCCTCCTCCCAGAACATTGGATGCAACAATGACACTTGAAATGGGATGACACGTAATTATAGTTATAGTAAAACTATACAAGATTGTGACTCCAAGTAGCGACAGAAAACCGTTAACGGGGCATGCGATAGAAAGGTCACAATCTCCCCCACCAACCTCTGCTCGAAGCGTAACAACTTATTTCGACCGATGTTTTCAGCTCAGAATGACTCCGAAATCCAAAACGCGCCTCGTAATCATTCTGCTGCTGCTACTGGTGGCGGTGGAGTTTTCTGGGGGGTGGCGGCGGCGTCGGAGAAGGCGGGTGTGTCATGTGGTGCACTGCGCCTGGGGCCCGTGGGGCAGCTGGGGCGGCTGCACGGCACCCTGCGGGAACTCTGGCACCCGAACCCGGACCAGGGGGGTCGCCCATCACGCTCAGTGTGGCGGGGCGGGCTGCGCGGGACCGAGCTCACAGACGGAGCCGTGTAACCGGTTCTGTAACAATGGCGGGACTCCGTACGCCTCTCACTGTGCATGTGAAGGTGACTACTGGAACACCTGCTGTCAATCAGGTAAGAACCACTCGCTGTCGTTTGGATTTCGTTTGGATGTGTTTTATATATAGCACTTAAAATGATTTTAAAAGTCGGTCTAAAGTTATCTCAGAAAGGAACTACTAGTACTCTATGGACAAAGTAGATTCATGAGGTTAGGTCAGCTCAGGGGGAAACTACCTTGCATGAAGAAGTGCACAAAGTGAAGTGTAAACAAATGTGATTTCTGTTCAGTCACATTTTTACTTAATAGTCGAAGAAATCCATACCCCTGCCTTCGGCGAGGAAAGATATTGATGAGGATTCAGAGGCGGCTGGAAAGAGTAGAAGTCAACAGGTCAAAGCCAGATAACATGTCAGGGGAGAGTACCAGAGCGGCAAACTGCAAACCTTAAACTTAGCAAGCGGCCTAACTAACTCCCCTGGTATGTTATCTGTCTATTGGTTCAATTTCTACTATTTCAGCCGGCTGTGAGGTCTGATGGAGGCTAGAAAGATGCTTTAAAAGATGACGTAAAATGCCACGTTGATGAGGTCATCCGTTTTATTGAGTCGATCCTGACTCATTGAAACGGAAGGGGAATCCCCGGGAATAGTGATCATAGCCATTTCCGGTTTCACAAGCGTTCGCTCAAAACCGAGCGTAATCAGTTATTGTATGTCAACCTGCAGTTACATGGTTAGTTAGTGGAGATTTTCCCCAATGTTGACATGTCTTCGGTGACAAATGTTACATTTCGTTCATCATAGGAAAATTGTATTGGTGTTTTGTGTAGCTTCACAGAGAGTCAGAACAAGGGCAGATAGGAATGTGATGTCCTTGGGCTGACACAGTCACATCAAATGCTTATTCAAACTTTAGAGTGCAAAACGAACTAGTGAGGCCCACTGGGGGTTCAACTTTTGCAGAATCTTAACGGTTCATGCTGAAACCGATTGCACTGTCTTCAATGTGTGCATGTATGCTAGCCTGGGTGCCATCCTATTCGTATTTGCACACTGCCACTGGGGCTCCATACTGACTCATTCCCTAAAATAAAATTCTCCCAGGCTACCTGCATGGATGACAACCCGCTGCTATTGAATTAATCATGAAGGATGTGAAAAACATTTCTGGTGTTGTCCTGTTCTAGCCTGTAGTCCGATCAGCCACTGCGCCAGTCTGAGCTGTACCCACGGCAGTAACCAGCAGTGTGTGCGGTGTGACGGAGACTTCGGGGTCCTGGGACAGGCCTACCACAACCTGGGAACCAGCTGTAGAAGTAAGCACGTGGCTGTTTTCATGACTAACGCCCTTGCTCAATTTGAAATTCTAAACATTTTGAAGATTGATAAAAGTGGATTTAGATAAATAGATGGATGGTTGACTTTGGCCCTATTCCCACTAGGATACATGTCAAATTTTCCGGATCGAAGTCGGATCAAAACGAATCAATTCGGGTCGATCCGGACAATTTTACTCTAGTGGGAATGAGGCCTTTGAGGATGTTTTTGATGACATTAAAATTTCAGAAAAAACACTGGAGTGAAAATCCAACAGTACGCTGTCGGGTAGGTGGGTTACAAAAAATATAGCTAAACTGACCTCAGTAACACGTTTCAGATTTCAATGTATTAAGACCTGTTCTGTTTTGCAGAGGCCTGTTCGTGGCGTGAGGACAGCAACAGCTGTTACCCAGGGACCTGTGCGTCAGGTGTTCAATCCTGCACCTGCGCACCTGGCTTTGGAGGGCCGCACTGTCGCACAGGTGGTTATCTATAAAATCTCTGGGGAATGGCCATGTGTTCATGAAATAAAATATACTTAACGCAAAGCTGCAGCGAGCAAAGTCATGAAATTTGCATAAAAACATAGCATACTGATAGATATGTCCTCTCTGATAGACTCAGGTTTGAACTTCAACTTCAGGTTTGGTAAATTGATTGTCTTTTTTCTTTTATCCAGTCCTGCAGGGTCCAGCATTTCATGACTGTTCCTATGAACTGACAGGCAACAATGGGATTGCCACTTCACACGGTAAAAGGCACTATTAATAAAACTAAACTAAACTAAACTAAACTAAACTAAACTAAACTAAACTAAACTAAACTAAACTAAACTAAACTAAACTAAACTAAACTAAACTGATTGCAGGCAGTTGCAGCCGCTCCAGTGAGGACGGTGACGCAGCCCACATCAACATGGCGCACGTGGAGCGGATCAGAGTCAGGTGGACTGCCACCTTCCAGCCTCCCAACCTCCCTGCCCCTCCGGTCTACGTAAAAAGTATGGCTCTCGGCATCATAGAGGGAACCATTGCCGTGTCATTGCAAAACGGTGAGAACTCATCTAAATTATTACAACCTGCTGCCACTGATCTGCTACAAGTGTGTTATGTTATAACTTGAAGTAAATTTGATTAATCATTGAAAAATCATTCCTACAGAGACAGATATGACTGCTTCTGCCACCACAACCTGTAGCACAGCCATAGGCAGAGGGACAGCAGATGTACCAGAGCAGGGCGTGTTCACCTGTGAGGAGGACATCTCGGTGGAATGGACTGCCTCCAACGGACAAGGGTAGATCTCATTTCTGTTTGGATAGATCACCGTCACTTTGCTACAGGCCTGGATTTGGCACTGCATGTTGAAGCCATGATCTGGCCCCAGTCCATTTCAACCAGTCACCTTTGTAATCATCTCAAATACCAGACAGACTGACGAAGTAGAGAGTAGACATTTTGAACATTTTGTTTCAGGATCCAAATCCTCCTGATGGCCACAGCCGGAGGAAACGTTCACCTGTACGATCGGGACGACAACAGCACAGTGAAGGTCAAGTACTTCACCGCTCTCCAAGCGAACCACACGGCTGACATCATCTTCGGCATCGAGGCACCATCACCAGGTACTCTATGACTCTGAGCTAACGTTAACGTATAGGGGAAAGGTTTTGCACCCTGTAGATGTGGCTCCAAGCGATGGACCCACAGAGTGCCGGATTTTCAACAGTCCAACATTACGACAGACATGCTATACCTACATGTGGCCTGGTGTCCATCCTATCGTAATATCGGTTGAAAATTATCCTGTTTCCTTGCAAATGGTACCAGTGCCACATGACCCTTTGACATGATGATTGATTGATCCCTAATTATTTTCTCACATTCCCGCACTAAAATCTTTACATAAATCCAACCTGACGAACTTGAGGGATATCTTATAACCTAATCTTTTTCAGTAACATAAAGTAGGAACAGTGTATCCTGATTTTGCTTTACAGAAGGTACAGAAGGCCGTACTGACATCCCCTGGGTCCTGTACGGTGGGCTTGCTGCAGGAGTTGTCCTCTTCCTCATCATCACTGTGGCCGTCTGCTGCTGCTGCTGCTGTAGGAAGGGCCAGACGAATACCGGGCAAACCCCCTCCCCAAACTGCAACAACGCCTACAGCCACGACATATACGATAACGCTGGGGGTGCATCCACGGCTAGCGGGGACTCTTATAATTATTACCTCCGGCCTTTACCTCCCACCCCAGGCAATGTGCCTCCTAAGAGAGTCAATGTGCCTCCTAAGACATTAGAGAAAAATACTGAGTATGAGGAAGTTGACGATCGTTATCAAGCGCTCAAGCCTCGCAATACTGACTACCAGGGGCTGAAACCTCGTGGTCATGATTATCAGGGGCTCAAGCCTCACTAGACAAGGGAACCTATTAGGCTCTTACTTCTAATGCATGCATCTTTCACATAACCTGATGATCTGTTGGACAGCTGACGTAACATCATATGGTACATCTGTTCATCAGATAGCCCTATTTCTAATTACGTATATGATTTATAATACCTATCCAGGTGGCAATGCGAAGACAACTGTATTTAATGTTAGAAATAGTTCATAATACACTTTTCTCTTTTCAATGAATGTTTCTGATTTGTCAGGAGTGTTTAACATAAAAATGGAACAAACTAATGCATCAATTTATGATTTCTTCTAAACCGTATATCTTTAAGATATCGTTCACTATGTACATGTACACAGTAATGGATAGAAACATGTTATTCTGGGAATGTTGTACATATATTTTTAGATGATAATGTTCAATGCAAATTGCAAGCACATGGGTATGATACTATGAAATAAAAATGAGGAATAACAGACTAGTCGGTACATTTTTGAGAAAGAAAAGTATTTGACCTTTTATTATGAAATAACCTGCAGAAACTAAAGGCAATCTTATAGCTGCCGAGGAAGCATACTGGAGACATAAAAATGTCTAACGTTGAGTGCTGTCAACCTACTCTCCAACCAGAGGTATAGGCTTCGGCTTATTTTTAACGTGTTGTCAGGCGTTTAATTTTATAGGACTGTCTTCTTTGCACCGGTAGGACTGTCTTCTTTGCCCTGCCAAGTTGATACTGTCTTCCTTTCTTGTTTTGGAACTTTACAACTACAAATTAAAGATCTGCTTGGAGATTAAAACAATATGCCAACAGTCGTGTCTACATCATCATGTAAAAGATTAAATTTTCCGTCAGCGGGTCGACCTCCTCCGTCACCACCGGCAGGGACTTGGCGGTCCTCAGCCTGCGCGGCTCCGGAGCGGCGCACTGCACCGCCTTGTCCTCGGTGGCGGCCGGCGGGGGGAAGGGCACGTCGGGACGGCGGTACAGGGCGCGTGCCAGGAAACTCAGCAGGAACATCTCCACGATCAGAACGTAGGCGTACAGGACTGGAAATAGAAGGTTTGGTGTTTTGTATATTCACATGGCACAGGGGCACTTTTCTCTATCAGACATAGGCGCACAGTACCGGAAATAGAAGGTTTGGAGTTTTGTACTTATCTATATGGCACAGAAACATTTTCCACTACTATAGGAGAGCATAGCTAGGCGTACAGTACTGGAAATAGAAGGTTTAGAGTTTTGTATCTCTTCACACGGCACAGGAAGAACTCTGCTGCATACCAGATGGAAAAAGGACATTTGTTCGTCTTATAATTGTAATGGTAAACAAAAGAACATAAGAGCATCGCATTCTGCACTTTTATTTGCAGCATGCAGTTAGAGGCTTTGAAGAACGAAATATTCGGCTTATAAAAGAACTATTCTTAAGTGTCAATCTTGTCTTCAATATAGGAAAAAAAGGAAAGGAAATATAAGAAGTACTAGTCTTTCCCACAACATGCAAGGCTAAAACTGACACTAGTAAAACTAGAAGTGCTTATAGTACTACAGTAAAACTGCAGAAAGCCCCTTATATGTACGTACTGTTTCCCCGTGACACTGACGTGAAGGGTGGTGTACAGACGGCCACCCCGGCGGAGGACAGCGCCACGATGATGTTCTTCTGTACAGTGACCAGCACCAGGGGCAGGACCACACACACTAACTTACCCTTCAGCATAGCCTGGGGCACAGATACATACACTTTGTTACAGGTCAGACGTTTGTCAAAAGAATCCTCCTTTGCAGAGCTATCCCAAGACGATGCGTTAGCCTTGCCAAATCCAAAAGCTAACGCACTGCCGTGGGATAGCTCTGCAATCACTAATACTATCGTGATAGTTCGTGATGAGAAGAAATCGTCATGCTAGCTACACTCTATGCAAATATTACTTCCCAGTTTGATGCTCCCGCAAAACTTGACCAGCAAAGTAAATACCAAGAGACTTTAACCTACGACGTAGTCACAACATTTTCATGATCATCATCATTATATCACACCATTATATGCCAAGACTACGAAGGACTACCAAGGACATGCCATTGCAAGATAGACGATACACTGTCAAGAACAATCGGACTCCGCGTCCTTGTGGTTGTACAAGATACCTAGCCTGAGTGTCAACTTTTTTAGCTCTCGTCCGATCCCATGAACTGCTACCGGCCAACTTGAAGATCGTGGGGAGCGGACAAAAGCTAAAAGGCTAACTTTCAGGCTACAAGATACCCTGCGCGTAGACCTAAATTTAGAACAAGGTTGGCCTCTAACTACAGCGAAAAGAATATTTTAATAGATCAAGCTCTTCCGGTCCCCCACCTGTGGAACATACGGGTCTGCTGCCCGCACGAAGAACACCAGCCCGTTCAGCGCGCAGAGGAAGGACAGGATCAGCACCACTCCGCACAGGACGAACAGCGGGGACGTCGTCTGGAGAAGGAGGTAATGATCATGTATTTTGTTGAAAGCTGTGTTACCCCTAACCTACAGACAGATTTTTCGGTGGCCGCAAAATACAGTATCAGTGGCCAGGAAATATTCATTAGCCATAGAGCACCAATTGGCTAATGGACACTCCTCCGGCATACTTCTACTTTGTTGACGTGGCCTTAGAAAGAGACCAAAAGTTGCGCGAGGTCCCCATCCTCACGAATGCCTGGACCATAGGACCAAAAATAGCCAAAGAAACTATATACTAGTATTCAAAATCTCAATAAGAATCAGAACGAAACCATCCCGATCTAATGTGCAGAAATGAAAACCTCCGCACCGTGCCCGGAGTGTGCCTGTCGTCGCTGTACATGACCGCGGCGATGTACGTGAAGAGCGGCCGGACAAACACGCCCTGCAGCACGAGGAGCTTCATCTTCCTCAGGAGACGTCTGAAAGCAAGATTCACCAGCAAGAAGCGTTACCTTAATGACGTTAATCTATATTATGGAAACTACTTTCAGGAGAAAAATATACAGCTAGGAATAGAAGCAGTGGTGTATGTTATCTGGTAAATAAGGCGTTAACACACCAGCATTGTATGTTAATTGCAAGCTATCTAACACACATAATCTGTAATCTGTTTGATCCATGCACTTCCACCGGCACGGGACCCCTACTCTCATCACTAAGTGTGGTGTGTTCTTTAACGTCACCAGCTCTCACCAACACAGGATCTCCAGCTTTACGTGCCATCCCAGAGGACATCCCTAACCACGTTCACCTGAGTCAAGTCAGAAAATTGGTTTTTGAAACGTCCCAAAGGCACACTGTGACATTGGGACCTGCTAGGGATTCGAAAGCAACAGCCCTAACCACAAAACATTTTATTTTGTTGTGTTGTGTTGTGTTGTGTTGTGTTGTGTTGTGTTGTGTTGTGTTGTGTTGTGTTGTGTTGTGTTGTGTGGCGCTGTTAAAATAAGTTTAAAAACTTGAGTGCAGCGCCACGCGGTCCTTGGTATTGTATCTATACGTGTTGATGAATAAAAAAACCCAAAGACAGGCCATATGCATTACGAAATACAGACTAGATAAGAAATGCATGCCCCACGCCAACCCTAGCTGACCGTGTAAGAGTTTTCCTGGGTATGCAGACGCAGCAGCAGCACGGCGGCATGTTGAGCGCGACCGGGATGGCTGACAGCGTCTTCACCATCCTCCCCGCGCCGCCCATGTAGTCTGTCACCAGCAGGGGAAGCTGGTACACACCTACAGCCAGAGCGCTGCAAGGGAAAGGGGGGAAACCTTAGTAAAAGCTGATACAAAGAGACAAACATACAATCAGATGGCACCCAGGCTACTCGGAAGTGGAATCATCCGGCATAATCGTTAAGCACGTTTGGCAAAGTTTACTCTCTGATATCAATGTTGTCTTCCGAAATTAACTACGAAAAACCAGCATACGTTTTTGAAAGCATTTACGACTTCGTTTCCCCCACGCATACCCGGGCGATTAAGGGTGCACTTCCACTTCAAGCGGTCGCATTGTGGGTCTTAATTGTTTCCAAGAACCGCGACGCGCTAAGACAGACAGACATGGGTCTACGAGTATGCATGACACGAACACAATCCTTTCCAATTTTTTTTTAATTTTTTTTATTGGTATTTCGAAATACAAAAACATGTACAGACAAGACATGAACAAAGCAAAAAGTAATAACGTAATGGTAACAGAGAAATAATCCACGGATCCAAAAATACAATCGAGATAAAACAAGGATAACAGCAGGGAAAAAAACTCGAAATAATAGTACTTGATCTACTATAATACAGATGACAGAACAATATGAATATACAGTAAGATGAAACTTGAAATAAAAGCAACAAAAGTCAATAATATATATATCCTTTCCAATTTTACGAACGTTGCCCCGCCCCGCTGACTGACTCACGTGTTGAGGGCGAACTCGTTGATCAGGGTGGTCCTGGGAGCTAACAACGTCGTCAAACACGTCACAGCTATCACCTGGTGAAAATATAGATAAAGCCTGTCAATAAGTGTGTCATGGTCTTGATTTTACAAAAAGACAGCGCACATTTACAGATTCTTCACGCTGCTGTTGTGACTTGCTTTTATTGTAGAACGGAGTAGTACAATTGACTCAGTAAAGCAAAGCAATTTCAGGGCGGCAGTATTCTGGATTAGAAAATGTACATGATATTGAAAATTACTGCCACTTCTTAGCACAATCTCGTCATCATTTCACTCCTGAAGCGCCTCAAAGCAAGCTACGAGAGGAGTTTTTGGTACCACCAATAACTAGCTAACCTTAGAACCAGTCTGCGATACAATGTACAAGCAATTGTTTTCTGTCAGCATAGTCGCGTTTTTGTCTCACAGATATCAGTTTAAACATTTTTCATATTATCAAGTTTTCATCGGCTTACCGGATAGATGGCGAGGATGAGCAGGATCTTGGTCCGCCTGGGGGCGCTGCTGTACCGTCGGCAGAGGAAGACCGTCTCCTCCAGGAACAGGAGCAGGACGATCAGCGTGAAGCCGCCTGCCGTGCCGTACAGCACCAGCTCGATCGTACCCGCCTCTGCCATGTATATAACATGAATGAATGAATGAAGACCTTTATTGTAATCTCCAAGCAGATGTTTCTGTGGCCGCGAAAGACAGTATCAAATTGGCCAGGCAGTGTCCATTTGCCACTCAATGGATACAGTCTGGTCGATGGATACTGTCTGGCCAATTTGATACTGCCTTTTGTGGCAACCGAAACATCTGCTTGGAGATTACTTAATTGTACATTTTTGCTCCACTGAGCTAAGTACAGCTACAGGCCAGATGTTGACAATCATGCAACCAAGACCAGAGTCTAGACATCATAAGTAACATGCTCTGGTACCTTTGGCTTCCTCTCTGTAAGTTTGGGCCCCCTAGCAGCTTGGTATGGAACTACACGGAAAACTTTGAAGGACGATAACTCTAAATCCGGTTGACGGATCGTCGTGATTTTTGGTAAGACTAGTATCAAAAGAAGTGAGGAAATTTACTTAAAACATGATCATACGGTTACTGGCGATGCAGAAAACATCAGCAGAAGTTAAGATCGACCTGACGGCTGGTGAATTGGTTTCTGACTTCGCGGCCTGCTTGTGAAGTCGAACAGAGCAACACGTCACTGTTTATAAGTCACTGCTGGGTCAGACGACGACCCATGTAGGTCTGCACGTGACCTTGTCGTCAAAATCAGCTGTGTCTGTCGTTCAGGGATGATCCATCTTACTATGTGGGGGAGGCAATGTCAACGACATGAACTCCTTGCTGAGATCAGTCGCAATAAAAGATCATAAAAAGAAAGCAAGTGTTGCATCATATTTCCTGCACCGAACGGGCTCTGGCTTGTGCATTTGTACTAACCACTTCAAGGTAAACGAAGCAAATCAGGACACTACTCCAGTCGGCATGTTTTCAGTGAGGTGACGGACATGTCTATAACAGGAGTACCTGGGCTAAAAGTGCACAGATACCAGAGTTAAGCTGTCACGCCGGGGTGCCGTCAGATGGAGGCCTGACGAGAGATACCCCGTAACATGACTCATCAAAATGACCACAATCATGTTTTTCAACATTGATTGACATTTAGAAGAGTGATAATGTCCCTTATTTAACTATAATGGGCTCCGTAGGAAAGCCAGCGTTGCAAACAGCCCTAGTGTTTAATATCATGATAACAGCATGTGAAAAGGTAGCTGTCGTGGAACGAATATGGTATAAGCCGACGGGTTATGTTAACATACTAACACGTTATGATTTTACCAATGAAGAAAAGAAAAGAAGTAGCGAAACATTGAAGTGCCACACACCTGCCAGTGCCTCCCGTGAGTAGAGCAGGTCGCCCGTGCAGTTGTTTGCCATGACTGTGCGTAAATCAGCGAGACGTGAAGCCGTTGTTGCTGTTGCTCAAGGGCGGTAAAAGCGATAGGGCCGGTCCCCCATCATCCCTAGGACAGGGACCAACCGTTTAACCGTCGAGAGTGGGTGGCCTCTACCAGGCTTCGGGAAGCGACTGGAAAGAGTAGGAATTGGCTAAATAGACAGGTGATATACCAAGGGACTTGGTCCGCGCTAAGAGAGCAGTATTAGTTTGTCGCTCCGGTGCTGTCCTTTTACTTTTAGCGCGGGCGAACTCCCCTGGTATGTCATCTGTCTATTTAGCCAATTTCCACGCTTTGCAGTCGCTTCCCGAAGTCTGGTAGAGGCTACGAGTGGATGTACGCAATAGACTCGGGCGCAATGGGCGGCGTCATAAATGAATGATCCCTAAGCGCATCAATGGCCTGCATCATGCAGATGACACGAAACGTCAGGCTGCCAATGCTCTGGACCTAGCAGCCACTGCACAAAGCAGCAAGAGAGCACCTGTGGACGGGAAGTTACAGAACGCCCGGTGTAACCAGTGTTCGCTCTTCCCCGACATCTCTCAGTCTCCAGCTCGGCTTGAGGACGAGTCCGGCCGTCTCGCATAAAGACGTCTCGGTGTGGCTGCCTGAGAGTGAGCGAGTGTCCAGTCGTGATGACATCAGACAGTGGGACACAGCTGAACCGTGTGCTGTACAACATTGTGGTTGACAGTCTCATTTGTCAGCGAAACCAGAGAAGTCGTTATCAGTTGTTGAGTAGGAAAATAAGGATGTTCTAAACAGTTCGTGCACCAGTATAACTTAAGCTAGCCTCCTATGAATCTTTTATTTGCAAAGTCATGCTAAGGCTGATTGCATCTACACTATCCAAGAAAGTAAAGTAAAGCAATAGAAAACTGTGTGGTCAACTTATACTACTACGTATACGTTTGGTATTGTGAAGTTTGACTTATATTATGCCCTTTTTATGCCATATCACTAGCACAAAGCACACTGCAAGTTTCCCGTGGTAGAGAAACTCAACCGCCATATGGAGAGATTAGTTGTTGAACTTGAAACCAGTGTAAAACAACGGTCCTCTGTAAGAGCACAACAATCTATTCATCCATTGATATGGCCATCCTGAACCCGAGATGCGTCCCACCCATCAGCGGCCGGTCCCCCGTCCTGTATCGTGTGTAACCTCGGCAGATGCAGTGCCTAATTTTGGAGCGCTCACTCCCCCGGAGCTAACTGGACCCCTTCTCCGTATTTATAAATAAGGTGTCTGAGCTGCCATGCAGAGATGTTCCAGATATCAGATACCATAGCAAGTACAGGGTTACTGTAAATATTGTCTTCACCCACAGTTTTCTGATGCATTGCTACTGAGGCATTGCTAGCTGGTTGGACCCGGGAGTTTTAATATTAGGGTTTTCAAAGTTTCCGGCTACGATGATTACGTTCTAATGGCTAATTGCTACAACAGTACAAGTGCTCGCCATGTACAACAACGTAAGACGTTGCCACCAGTTGGTCCTTCTTTTCAAACGTTAGTGCCAGCAGATTGCGTCGCTATTGCGCAACAGCGAAACTGTACCCGTGACGGCCATCATAGTAAGGGTAAAGGGCACCTGTCAGGCTCACAGACTGTTGACACCTTCCTGTAGTCACGCCAAGTTACCTGACAAGGAGAGTGGGTACACGAAAAATGTTTTCCTATTGTCAGTTACAATTTACACTCACAGTATCTGCTTTATGATGCTTGAATTAAAAACCTTAAAGGAAAGGCGATCTGTTTGACCTTTGACCATGATAACGTTTCCAAGGACGCGACATAAAGCCACCTGTTGTGCTTCCATTGTTGGGTCATGACGTCAGGGGATTCCCCAACTTTCGCAGTGTATAATTGGTCTGGGTGACGTCGGGGTATTTCCACAGTTTTGTCTCTGGCGCAGTTTAGATCGGTTCGGACAGAGATCGGCTGTGTTGAGAACCTACGAAAGAGAGCTGCTTGTTGCAAGGTGAGAGAATTTTCTGTGTATGTGGGTGTCATGGCATATCATGGTCACCATTCGTTTTCTCTTATGTTACCATTCTTAGTTTTCATGCTGACGTACAAGTATGTTAGACCCAATGCTGCCAACGTGGCCACCGTGACGATTTCAAAGCACGCAGCACTCCTTGTGGAACTCCGAGAGTAACTACCTAGAAATATAAGGCAGGATATTGCATCCAACGTATTCACTAGTCATGTACAACGGCCAAGGGTCGTGTGAGAGTAAAACTAGCAAAATTGTCTGTGTCTGGAATAGGATGGGTGGCACGTACCACTCATCAACTCTACTGAAAAGGATCGCACCTAGCCTTAACGTTTGTATCTACACGGACAGCAAAGGACAATATTCACTCAACATCAGCTATGTAAATATCTGCACTCGCAAGGATGACTGAGCAGATTTATGGTTGACCAAGCTTCAGAAACTAAGTATGACTAACGTACCGAAACTTACATTGTTTACCCTTTACAGACAAAAATGCCGTCTGACATTTACTCCACGCTGTGGGCTCTGGACCATAACAGGCTGGAGAGAGGGGTAGATTATGACGTGAACCTTTGCGTACGTATAACTTTTACTCGTGGACATATGTATTTCTTGTCAATTGTATTTATGTTTTATATAGGTACAATTCAATAGTCTCAGTTTTATTTCAGCTTGATTCAATTTTCTATAAAGGGTCAAAGACTGTTCACTTTGAAACGACGCACGTTGGAAAGCCGGATCCCAACTTACAAAGGTAAGCGCGAGCGATAGACTGTGAAACGCCTTGGATATAAGGGTTTTCTTGTACACAACCAAATATTCCTTATTCCTACCTTGCTTACGTTTCGGTGTCTCTCAGACACCATCTTCGGAGCTTCTGACTGGAGTTCTGCTTCTCGCCGCTATATGTCGCCGATGTAGGTGGCGCTTTTGGGTAAGCAAGGTAGGAATATTTGGTCGTCTAAAAGAAAACCCTTATATCCTATACTTTACCAACCTGATGAAACTATTTTCGGAAGGTTGTGAAGCGCCTTGGCATCAAAACGTCACCACGATGCAGTGTTCATAAACCATTACCGGTATACCTATGCTATAGACATTGAATGAACAACTGTTGCACACTGTTGTCCATCATTCAGTCTGCCCATGCAAATGAACATGTTCAATACTGTCCAGTGCAGACAGATGCATATTGACGTATCTTACTGTGCGTAGCCTTTCTGAACTTGCTGGATGACTACGAGGCTGACGTCGACCAACCAGAGGAGGTGACAGAGAAAGAGCAGAACGACGCCCGAGCGTTCCTGAACCGCTGCCTGGAAACTGAGGTGATGAAGGAGGCGCATGCCTTCCTGGCTGAGGAAGGTGAGCTCGTCAGCTTCATTAAGGTTTTGACTTTTGATTTAACACTACCTCGACTTCCTGAATTTCACTCAGGAGCTCGAGAACGAATGACCTTTTATTTCGAACATGGCCACGTGACTCCAATGATTCGGAGATCCGAGATTCCGAAATGGAACGAGCTGATTTTTTTTTTTCAGGATGTGCGCCTGAAGGAAAAAGAGGTTTCAAGGACATGTTATACAAGATGTGGTTCACATCCTATACCAGGACTCACAACGACAGGGCTCAGCGGTAAGTAGATTTTCGTGCGCGCGTGCGTGTGTGTGTCTGTGGTGTGTGCGTGTGTGCGCGTGTGTGTGTGTGCGTGTGTGTGTTTGTGCGTGTG